TGCTCTCTTGAGAGACAGTAGTGCTGGTTGTGAGGCGCTGGCCTGTCCCCCCGGCCTCTTTCTGCATCTTCTTACTTTGTTTTGTAGCATCTTTATATTTTGCGGTAACAGGCGTGCATCCTCTAGAGCAGTGGTTCGATGGGGTGACCGCGTATCCTAAATTGTTTAAGGAGTCTAACGCAATAATTGACGAGTGGAAGGAGTGACGGTAAGCTGCGAACAGGTTGGATCTGGACCTAGTCTGTCAAGAGAGATTGAGTGTTAATTTTGTTGCAGTCAAGTGGTAGAAACGTGTAACTGCTTGAGAGGATAGAAAGGGGGATGATGAAGGGAAGAGGAGAGGGCTGCTCTGTGGAGCGCAAGGTGGGTAATGATAGCTGTACTCTTAATTACTGGCTCCGTGCCGCCTTGGGCCTTCTCCCTCTGCTGCAAAACATTCTCTCATTTGCGTGCAATAAAGCTGACGCCTTTTAATGACCGTGTTCCCCTTGGGTAGGGTGCTTCTTATGTTGATTTGGTTTTTAAGCAGATTTAGCCTGTCTGTGGGAGACGGTTCTAATAGACTCTGTGAACGTAAACAACACTTCAGCAGAATAATGTCTCTTGCTGCCTTCTCGTATTTCAAATAACTCACAGCTGCATTAGTTAGCTGAAGCGCAGTGTTATTCTGTCAAAACCTGAGAGGATGTGACTGGGTAAAAGATTGCTCTTCACGTGCCAAGTTTCTTGAATTCTTGTCCCTGAGAGTCTGTCAGGAGTGAATGCTGGAGGCAGGGTGCTGATACAGATACAAATCATTTCATGCACCAAAGATGTATCTCAAGAGCACAGTGGATTGCCCATGGATTTGAGGTTTCCCATACCAAATCCAATATCCCTTTGAGTTTGAGATTTGTGCAGTTGATGGGAGTTTTTTGTTTGTTTTTTTTTTTAACTTCCGGATACTCTTCAAGCCGTTAGAAGCTGTCTAAATTGCTGGGATTGCAGACATTTCGGGTGGTTCTATTAATAATGTATCAGTGCTGGACTGGACTTCTTGGTGAGGTCAGATCATGTGGTTTGCTAATGTAAGAAATGGGCTCCTGTGGAAAAGCACATTGTGCTACTGAACGTTTGGCCTGTGCAGTTCCCTGATGTAATTCAGCTGAAACTTGTGTGCTTTTGTCCTCTTCGTTGTGATTTGTTTTCCTTGTGAGCTCGTGACTTTGCAGGTGTGTCCTGGGCTAGCAGCTGAGGTCTGGCACTTGGAAAAGTGACAGAACAAACGCCGCCCTGAGAGAGCCATGACAAATCTTTAAGGAAAGAAAGATAAGCAAGGCCTTGAGATGTGTTATGTTTTGTTGGGGTTTTTTTGTTTGGTTTTTTTTTTTTTTTTAACAGCTGATCTAAGGACTGTGCCTTTCCCACCATGCTGGGTAGATGAAGTTGGTGCTGAGGAGTCAAATTGCCTTCCCAAACTCCCAGAGTCTCTTCTGGGGCGTTGCACGTACTGCTGTGAAAATATTCAGAGAATTGAGACATTTCATTTCAAAGTCCTTAAGGCAAGGATTTGAAAGGATGATATGGTTGGCCATGTTTAGAGAAAGTGTAATGGTATCAAAGATATTAGGTGCTTGGAGAAAAAAATGGAAAACATTTAGCTTTGTAGGAGAGGCACGTGTTGTAGTCCCCGGATGGAGAGATGCTGTGGCTTGTACTCACCTGCACTAGACAGCAGTGAATCACCTCGAGACTGGCTTCGGTCAGAGTTGACGTTTTAACGTCCAACCACACGTCTCAAATCTGTCGCAGATCAAGATACGCGTAGGTTTTTTTTACTTACGGAGCTCTGTTTTGCAGCGACAGGGGATTGGAGAGCCCAGCGTGTACCACGCCGTGGTGGTCATTTTCCTGGAGTTCTTTGCCTGGGGGCTGCTGACCACGCCGATGCTAACGGTGAGTAAGTCTCCCTGGGAATCATACTGGCTCTTGTAGACTAGAGTTGACCTCGGGCTGGCGAGGGTAAAGACCTTAACATAGGCCTTGGGAGGATAGGAGGTAGAAACCAAGGTGTAATGGTTTGTACCTGATTTTTTTTTTGCGTGAATAAGCTGGAGCTGTAGTAATTATTTATGGAGCGGGGCAATTATTTTTTTTAATTATTGTAGCTTAACTTGGAGCAAAGCATGAGTTCGATTTTTGAAAGCTTTTGGAGGATTTCAGGAAAGCAGGAGTCAAAGACCTGACCTGAAATTACTAGAATTTACTGATAGTTCACAGAAGTTAAGGGCAGAGGGATAGCTTTATTAAAGAAACTTAAAATCTCATCTCAGATACTTGCCTTTAGTTAAGGAGCTGTCGACTTCCAGTTTGGCAACTTCAGGAAGAATTCTCAGCTTTTTACATTCATTTTCTGGTGGTGGTATGCCAGCTCACATTGAAGTCTAATGTGTCATGCATGTTTTTGACTTGATTTCTGATATCTAGGTAACTGCACAAAGGGAGTCTCTTTTTTTTTTTTTTTAATGCAAAGGCATTGAGAAATATAGCGTTAGCTTAGTAATATGAAATGCAAATCAAACATATCAACAGTACAAAAAGGGTGAGAGAACAGCAGAAAAGTTACATGGTTGCATGAAGTAAAACCAGAGGGAAATCAGATAGTGCAGAGATGGAGAAAGGCATGTTTCCGAGTATCTTAGCCTTACCCAAGCCTGCTGGAATAATTTACAGACTTGGGAAGTATTAAAGAAAGTGGCTGCCCGTGTTGGAGAGGGGAGGTAGAGCTCCTCACGTGGGTACAGCAGGGCATTGGCGGTAATTTGCCCATTTTCCCCATTGTGCTCCTCCAGGCATCTAGCTGTCAGGTGCTGGCGGAAATAAATGGAGATCTTGCAAAAGTTAATGGCTCTGGTTTTGGGGGTTTTTTGGGGTTTTTTTCCTCTAGGTGTTACACCAGACTTTTCCTCAGCATACGTTCTTGATGAATGGCCTGATTCATGGAGTCAAGGTAAGGAATATTCCTTCCAGGCTTTCATTTGAATCTGCAATCAGTGCAAGAGGTGGCAAGCCATTGTAATCCGTGTTATTTGCTGATGTCAACCAGTACGTGACAGATAAGCGTTCGTACTTCAGTTTGGGTTGGTCATTGGGAAACCTAATGCAAAATGAAGAATTGAGAGAGCACAGGAATCGGGTAGCTTGTGCAGTTGGTTTTACTGAGCAGCATTAACAACGTGCAGCTTGTCATCGGGCATTTGGGGCTATAACAGCTGTGTGTTTCAGCTGAAAATAGTCTAAATCAGCGTGAGATCAGCCCTGTAACCATATTCTGGAGCGCAACAAAATAAAAAAATCAATGGCATCTGAACTTATCAGTAACAGAAGTTGAAACTAAGCGGGCCTCAGCAGGCTCTCCTCAGATAGAAGGTCGGGACTATGCTGCGGCACAGTGAGTTTGGTCTTAGACCAGCATTCCTAGAGCAGAATTGGAGGCAACTGTAGTGAATAAGCAATAGCCGTGTGTTCTGACTTGGGACTCCGGCAAAACAGATTGTTAGGCCCTGGCTCTGGCAAGAGGATCTCAAAAAATGGCCCCAGAGAGGTTTGCTTTGATGCGAGTTGGGCACTCCCGTGTACACTTAAGGGCTCTTCCCCACCCGTCCCAGGTTTGAAAGGCCTTGAACAATTTTATTTGTGCTTAATGGCCTTGGCATCTCATCGGGTCTCTCTTGTCTCCATCTAAAAGAGAAAGCTTTCCCTGGAACTGCAGCAGATGTTAATGTGATGGAACTGTGCCAGCATCTTTTTAGGTACTGGCAGGGTAACTCCCCGCCGCACAGGCATGCCTGGGAAGACCACAGCTGCCAGCTGAGCAGTCGTGGAGAACGGGAAGTAATTGGAGTGTTTAGCAGCTCCTAGCTGGTTGAGGATTATTTTTTTTTTCCTCCCTAAAAGGATGTGAGCAGTTTAACAAACTGTTGTTTTGGTAGCGCCGCCTGCTCGTAGAAAATAGGAATGGGTTGTCTCCTCGTATTCTTGTCTTTAGATGATGTTGTCAAAAGCTCTTGCTATTGACAATCAGAATTTGACTGAGGGGTTTCTCTCTGTCATCCTGTCTGTCTGTCTTAGGGTCTGCTTTCTTTTCTAAGTGCCCCACTGATTGGTGCTCTCTCTGATGTCTGGGGCAGGAAATCCTTCCTCCTCCTCACTGTCTTCTTCACGTGTGCGCCAATTCCCCTTATGAAGATCAGTCCGTGGTGAGTTTACTCCTGTTAGAACCAAGGGATTCTGAGGAGATGAACGAGTGTGGGGCTGAGCAATGGGGGACTTGCGGGTGTTGCATTTGAGGAGGAGATGGAAGAGTGCATTCAGTGGAGAAGGACGCTCAGCCTAGAGACTAATTCACTTGTCTGGTTCTACTGGAGGGTTCAATGTCAGGAAGAAACAGTCTGTCTTTCCTCTCCTGGTGCCTATTCTCCTGATAGGTGCGTTATCGCTATTAGGGCATGTCGATGTTTCCTTCCAGTGCGTGCGGGGAAAATAAGTGATAAAATTCCATGGGCCACCAGAGTGAAGCTCGCTGGGAGTGCTTTCTGGTGCAATGAAGTAGGATGGACTGAAGGAAGAATAAGGGAGAGATTCTAATTCAGCAGCTGTGGACCACTGTGTGGTTGCTCTCTAACTCTGCCTTTGGCAATGCCTGTTTCAGGTGGTATTTTGCTGTCATTTCCATGTCTGGAGTCTTTGCTGTCACCTTTTCTGTGATTTTTGCCTATGTTGCCGATATCACACAGGAGCATGAACGCAGCACGGCGTATGGCTTGGTAAGGAGCTGAATAACTGGCTTGTCTCTTAAAAGAAATATTTGGGGCTTTGCAGGTAGGAGGGGTATCAAATGAGAGTGGGAGATGTATTGACAAGCCTGAGGACAGTGAAAAGATGAAATGTGCTTCACTAATAATACAGTCTCCCTGCTCTTCTGTTCTGTGTGATTTAGCACCGAGGGAGAGGGTTAATTTCTGTGTGATCTGAATACCGGCTGTATTGTTGCTTAACCTTTAAACCAGCCTGGTCTGCGAGCTGCTTCGCACCGGGAAGGGGGCAGGCTGTGATGCTGGCGTGCATACAAGTAGCCTGTGGTCGTGCCCGTTCTATAGGGTTACTGAAAGTATCGTATGTGAATTGTTAGGGTAGCTTTAATTTCCCTTTGCTAGAACTTAGTCTAGATTGCACCAAGAGAACATGTCATCTTTCTGTCTACAGGAGTCTCTGTTTGCCTGGATTATCTCATCAAAGATGGCAAAACTAGTGCCTTGGGTTGCTCTGGAGGAGCAATAGGCTCTAGGAAGAAGAGGCTGTATTAATGTTTTATGCTTCCAGGTGTCAGCCACGTTTGCTGCTAGTCTGGTCACAAGCCCCGCAATTGGTGCATACCTTTCCCAAGCCTACGGCGATACCTTGGTGGTTGTGCTAGCTTCAGGTGTTGCTTTACTGGATATTGGTTTCATCCTGCTAGCTGTGCCAGAGTCTCTGCCAGAAGAGATGCGCCCGGTCTCTTGGGGAGCTCCAATCTCTTGGGAACAAGCAGACCCATTCGCTGTAAGTAATCTTGCTGCTGTTTTTCCACATGCTAGTAAAGCTTATATTTGCTTTAGTTCTGCTAATTTCTCTCAAAAGGAAGATGCGTTCCTCAAATAGTGGAGGATGCGAGGCTTAGATTAACCCCATTGAAGGTACAGTGTTCAACTGACGGCAGACTGCACGTACCTAAAGCTGCCTGGCAGCTTCTAACTGATGTCATGGAGCTACAAACCATCTAAAAGCAGCTCCAGATGTCCTGAAGCGAGAGCATCTCTTGGTGGAAATGTGCTGGTTGTTTGACTGTAAATTCCATCACTTAGCAATAGTACCGCGTCAGGAGAAGTTTTTGTGTTCCTGGCTTCTCAGGACCTTTGCTCATGGTGATGAGCTTTGCACAGTTTCACCTCACCTTTGCTTGCTAGGAAGGTTATTTTGGCTGTCGGAGGAAAAAACAATTCTGATGACAAGCACTTGACTGTAAATCGGAGAAACTGAAAAGTAAAAGTTCCTCATTCAAGGGTGTGAGTTGATGCAATTGTGCACCTGGTCTGGTGTGTTGTGGCAGTGTTCGCATCTTCCTCTGAAATGCTGGTTTCATTCAAGCAGTCGCTTCTTAGGTAGAAGATGGTGACTTAAGCACTTGTTTTTGCCACCTCTGTACCTGGAGAATATTTAATGATATTAACTCATTTTTTTAAAAACAATAATTCATTCCCCACCTTGCTTCCCTACAGTCCTTGCGGAAAGTGGGTCAGGATTCTACAGTGCTGCTCATCTGTATCACCGTTTTTCTCTCCTACCTTCCTGAAGCTGGCCAGTACTCCAGCTTTTTCCTGTACCTGCGACAGGTCAGTCTCTTGCGATGGGGGAAGGCTCCGAATGCAGGAAATCCCAGCCTGCAAATATTATCTTAGTTGCATGTCCTGAGGAAGCTAATCTTGGCCAATAGCTTAGTGAGGTTGAAGCTGTAAGAAATAGTCATTTGTTCCAGCTTTCCCAAAAAATGTGGGAGGCTGGCGACCACTCTGTAGGCATTGCCAGGACCTGTGCTTAGCTTCCTGCT